GAAACGACCGAAATGCCTGTGGTACCAATCGTCAATTTCAATTCTTCGGCACCAAGAGATTGCAAGGGCAAGTCCACAAGGGACCAAATGTTCAAGAGAGAGGAGATAAACGCACCTGTTGACGGGCTGATAATGACACCTGTCCTGCCTCGGCCCTTGAACTCGATGCGACGGTTGCGAGACGGGCCCTTGTTCACCCACGCCTCGGCGACGTACAAGCTCGAAGGGTCCGTAATCTTGAGCGTCTGGCCGTCCTTTGTCTTGATCTTGATGAGAGCAGCATCCTTGTCTCCGCCGGGGGCGGCACCCGCCTTGCCGAGGCCCATGCCGCGGCTCACCACGGCAAAGTCGCGGGCCTCCTCGAGCTGGAACTTGACCTCGCGGGCCATCTTCTTCTTCGAGTAGGTCATCTGGGTGAGGGCGTCCTGGAGCGTCTTGCCCTGGATCTGGCGGGCGAGCATGACGAGCTTCTTGGTCGACGTCTCGAGGAAGGGGGACTTGTGGGTCATCTGGCGCTCGGTCTGGCGGATGCGCTCGACGCGGCGCGCATAGTCGGAGGGCTCGGACGACGCTGTCTGGCGCTGGACCATCTGGATGACCCTCTTGCGCTCCCAGCGGACGCGGGAACGGGGGTCCGGATCGAGGCGCCAGGCGGCGGCCTCGGCGGGGGTGGCCTGACGGGCGCCGTCGGGTACGTTGGTGCGCGCGGCGAGCGAGTCGGAGGTCGCGGCCTCGACTTCATCCTGGAAGATCGAGTCGGAGAGGGCGGGGGCCTTGGTCTGCTGCTGCTCGGCCAGGAGGCGCTGGCGGACTTTGGGGTCGTCGAGGTCGTGGCCGCCCGAGGAGCGGTTGCCGGGGTCGGAGGCCTTGCGGCCGCGGCCGAAGAGGCTAGGGAGGGACCATTTGGTGCGGCGCTGGTTCAGAGGAAGGAGGCGTTGGGACGAAGGGGCGCCGGTGGCCAGAGAGGATAGCGTAGAGTGCGCTGGTGCAAAGGAGTCGTTAGCGATGCTGTAGCCAGTGGTGATGGGGCCGTATGCAAGGCAGAAATGGACAGTCAAACTCACCAGATAGAGCTATCCTCCTGCTCGGGAGGTGGGCACTCATGCTGGGCGACGTTGGCTGTTCGGAGGGGGTGCGATCCGCGACAGCTTCAATTGCTTGATACCAATTGAGAAAAAATGGCCTAACAAGCTCCAATGCTGCTGCACCTTCGCGTCAACCCAGGCACGGGGGTGGAAGGCTGGACGGGGCACATGGACGCCGAGGTTTATCCGCCGACTTGTCCTTGGTGGTAGTGGTAATGTGCCAAACCTGAATGACCGAGCGTCCGGGAATTGATCAATCACGTGAGTCGGTTTCTCAGCGCGAATATCGTCAGGCCATTTTCGAGAGCTTGCCGGCTGCAATCAGCACCACCCGACGCCCGATCATCTCGACTGCACGCAATCGCCGCTCCTTCCACGAAACCCTACCAACACCTCACGAACATCAATCACAATGGCCGGCGCTGTTGCTTTCAAGCCCATCACGGGCGTACGTCTCCCCTCGTGAATTGGCGACGCCGGAAGGATGGGATGGGAACTGACTGGACTTGAAGATGCTGCGACGAAACCTCGTCCTCGACCTCGGCATCGGCCTCGGTGAGTGACAGATCCTGCCAACCGGTTTCGCTCGCCTCCTCAGGATAGTCTTCTGCGGTCGCAAAGCGACCGCGGGCTGTCTGTGGAGTGCAACACCGTCCCGCAACGTCATGACTGACTTTGGATACGATAGGTCTCGGCTTCGCCATGGCCAACGCCTACTGGTACGATATCCCTCCCCCGACCTAAGTCACGAACGGCGAGGAACGAACGAATGCAAATCACGAACAATCGGCCATTTTGCAGCTGTGCAATTGAACAGAACGGCAGACTAACCAATGTACGTTACAACAGGTACGGCTACCACATGCCTCGCACCCACGCTCGCGACAACTACTACACCAAGCTCGAGCAGCAGAAGGCCGAGAAGCGCGGTGCCCAGGCATAGAGAATGCATTGAGGAAACAGGATGGCGGATGAACAGAGAGAGATGAGGATTGCGTCGCTGTGGCATTTAGACAAGTCGCGGGTCTGACGACCTTGTATCATAACCTGCCAGCAATACAAGCTTGAGGACCACCTACTTTTTGTTTCGTTATCGACCCCTCTGATGCTTCGCGAGGAGTCTGGGTCGCAATTGTGGTCATTGGGGGTAGGGTCGTGTAACGGAACCGTGTGTGCCATGATGTGATGCAGGAATGCAGTGCCCGATACGACCAGGGAGACACACAGGGATACTTTTTACAAGGCTCAAGGAGAAATGTCAAGGTTAATCATCTTGATAGAAGGAATACATAGTCTTGTCAGCAACGCTCGTCCCAGGATGCTGATGTGAAGCCGTCGCGCTGCCGGCGGCCCCTACTGCCGCCCCATTGGTGCCTTCCCACGCCGTCGTCTCGACAGAGAATGTCCCCTTCTTGTCCTTGCACCTACACATCAGACTGTCAATCAATGCAACCACCGCGCGGCAGAGCAAGCAATCAAGGCAACACATACTCTCGAAAAAAGCGATTGACCGCCCAGCACCGTACGGGACTGTTGGGTGTCTGTGGCTGCTCAATCTCGCAATGATACTGGGCTAGGCTGCGCAGCTTGCATTTGGACAGGTCGACGCCGCCGCCGCCGCTGTCGCCATCAAGCTTTCGTTTCCGGCCCCGGACGTCGGCCTGGACGTGTGCCGGGAGCTCCGAGACTGGAAATACGTGGCACGGTGGTGACATTGCCGGTCCTTGATGGATAGTGTGTCTGCCGAGGCGCGGGCGGGAGCACGGGTACTGGGCGAAATCGAGGAGACGTCCCTTGATGAGGTGAGAGCTTGATTTGCTTGAGCTTGACGTTATGAACAGTGCGACGAGGTTCGAGTGCGATCGTTTTCAAGATGGCTGGGCCGTGGCGAAAGCAAGGATTTGTTCGAGGCGGCGTGATGGGGACGGAGAGCATGACACAAGAAGGATGAGTGAAGTGTCGTCGGACTTTACTACGGCGTCTTCCGCCTGAGGCAGTTTTCGGATGTCCCATTAAGACAACTGGCTAATTCACAACCCATCGTCTAGATTCTTGCCGAACTTCGTCATGCAATTGACGCAACAAATACGACGACAATATCGAAGCCCATTACCCACAATGTGAATAAGTCTCACAGCTCGTACCCCATCCCCGGCCTCGACGCCTTGGTGGCCCGCCAGCGGCAGGCTGCTCCAGCATCACCACTGCAACTGACCGGTCGATACCTCCATCTCATTTACGCTCTCATATCCACTCTCATCGCAGCACCTCATCTCAAGACCGTCGTCGTGATCGACCTCGAAGACCGTTTCGATGCCACACGATTGACAGTCGGCAGCGGACCGAATGACGATGCTGATCACGACAAGCACGATATCGAGACGGACACTGATGACCCTCTGCGCCACGTGCATGTCTACCGCCCAGCACGTTCCAGCATAGAACACCTCCGGGACGTTATCGCCGCCGCCGAACACCGCATGCTGTACGGCCGTCACGACAGCAGGACCCGTGAATGGTGGGGAACCATTGTCATCGGCGCTCCCCTGGCCGCAACCACCGGCTCCTCGTCCGCCGCCGGCCGGCCCAGCAGTAGCGTGCAAGTCACAGCCAGCTGGCGCGGCTGGATGAGAGTCGACCGCGATGAGGTACGCGGCTTCCCCTTGGGTGCTGGCGTCGGAGAGGTGTTGGCAGATAGGGAGAGGCGGCAGGCTGCGGTGGATGAGGCACCATGGACGGCTTCATGCGCATGGGGATCGATAGTCTTCCAAGAGAAGGGCGCGGCAGCAGCGAAAGATGAGCCTCCATTGCATCGATAGGGTTTACAGCCTTCCAAGCATCACGTCAAGTCCAGTCTTTGCACCAGCATCGACTGTGGCGAACACATGAAGGGTGGTTTAACATTGGTACGAGTGGCCAAGCACTCGTCGACGAGGCCGCCACGCATATTCCCAAGAATCTATGACGGCGGATGGGTTAGGTTAGAAGTGCCAGGCAGGCAAGCAGCGATGTACCGCACTGTCAGTTGATCAGTGATCACGACCCATGCTCTCGCACCAACATTAATCTCATGGCCGAAGCCGCTAGACCACATGTCGCCGATGGCTTAAGTCTGTCTAGCAAGAACTAAAGTTGCATAGACAGCGTTCGAGCCTATAGATTCTCTGACCCGGGCATCTCGCCGTGCCATCGCCATCGCCATCATCATCATCATTAGCATGGGTCCGCCTCATCGCCGAGATCGATTCCCCGCCAAGAGGCCCTCTGCCCCGATGTTTTTTCACGGCGATTGCAAGAAGCCTAGCGTCCTGTGCCATTACGGCGAAAACCCCGTCAGACGTTCGGCGAGATGACGGCGGCGTGCGTCCCTCGCTCGCCCACACCAGAGCAACCATCAGCCGCCGACGCACATCTGCCCTTGCGTGCTGCCTGTACCAAGCCTGAAGTGAAGGGTGACAGGGGGGCCATGGTCGGGACCCTAGGATCAGCACGACCTTCTTTTGCGCTCGATAATGGCCTGCGAAACGAGCCAGCGCGCAAAACCGAGATGGCGGACACACCTTCTAGCCCCAAGGCGAAAGGGACGGCCTCGGCGACTAGAGCGAGGAGGAAGGAGAAAAAAAACAAAGCACAGCACCATTCCGCTAGCCTTGCCGAAACCACGTTATGATCGGCGGGCCGTGACGCCCTGTGCCACTCCGAATGGACGAACTGTTCGCTGAGTATTTTTTCTCTCTCTGCCCCCTTGCCGCGCAATCTTGCACGGTGGTGGTGCACATGGGAGGGTCGGCACTTGGGGTGTGAGATTGGGTTAGGTCATGACGTCGGCATGCTTTTTGGTGGCGGGACCCTGTCTTTTGAGCCTCAGGGGGTTCAACCACTGGAACGACACGCCCACAGGGGGCTGAGATGCTGTGGTAGCAGGTAGCATTAGATCACATGAATATAGAGATAAATATCACTTTGGGACGGAGCAGACAAATATTTCGATGCAGTGTATTGTAAAGCCAGAATCATTCTAATGATGATGTACGCCCATGGTATCAAATGCCCGCCCAGCCAATGTACAAAAGGAAAAGAAAGAAGACACCCTCACGAAGAGTAGTGCATGCTAATGACGCTTTCGTAATGCGTTCCGAGTCCTATTCAGGAACGCTGCTTGACCCTAATATTCCAATTTCGGTGTGTGCGCGCGTGTGTGAAGAAATGAAAGATGCAGACAATCTTTAAGCCAGGATGGGCATCTCACGCTCCTCGAGGGGCGTCAGCACAGCGCTGTCCTTGCCAAGGAGGGCCTCGAGGCACGCCTGCTCGCCAAAGACGTCCTTGCGGAGGCCCTTGACGACGCGCTTGCGCAGCTCGCACTGCAGGCCGTACTTGACGGCGTCAAGAACCGTGTCGACGGTGGCGCGGGGCTTGTACGCGGGCTCGGTGCCGTCCTGGTACACGCCCGTCTTGACGAGGATGCTGTGCCAGTCGTTGTCCGCGTGCTCGTTGTATGTGTTGGTGCCGCGAATGTCGCTCTCGGGGGTGTCGCCGACAAAGTAGACAGTGTCGGGAGGCGCGTTGAAGCCGTGCTGGTGGCGACGCCACTGCTGGAGAAGACGCGTCGCGAACTCAAAGGTGCTGACCTGGGGCTTGCCAAAGGCATGGGTGTGAAGGGTGCCCTTCTTCTTGGTGACGTCCTTGAAGATGACCTCGAGCATGCGGCGCAGAGCACCCATGCCGAGTCGAACGTTGTCGTGAGCTGCTGACCACACGACATCGTTGTGAGAGAAGAAGATGGGGGGGCCCTCATCGAAAGTCTCGCTGAGAGTGCCAAGCTTGCCGCCCTTGGACATGGCAAGGTCGAGCATGATCTGAATGTCGCCAGCCCAGTCGCGGGAGTCGGCAAAGACAAAGATCGCCTCAATGGGGACATCGGAGAAATCACGCTCGCGCGAGTTCTTGTGCTCCTCCTCGGTGAGCTTGCGGAAAGGTGTTGTCGCGCTGTTGTGCTTGATAATGTCACCGGGGGTGATAACGTCGCGGAAACCGTAGCCCTCAGCCACCTGTCGGCACTTCTCGCCCTCACCACCGACAACGAGGACAGTCTTGTAGCGTTCGGCCTTTTCCCGCATGGGGGTGTGGCCACAAATGAACTGCGCGGGAGACACTTCCATCTCCATCTGTGCGGAAAGGTCGCGGCAACGCTCCTCCTCAGTCTTACCGCCACCGTTGGTCAGGAAGATGTATGGACTGGACCATGTTCATTAGCAAGGGCGTAGGACAAGGGCATCAGAATGAACTTACATCCTCAGACCGTACTCGTTCTCGCCGTTGAGAAACCGCATAGCCTCGACAGCCTCAGGGATGGCGCGACCGCCACGGATGAGCACGCCGTCAATGTCAAAGGCAAATGCGAAGCCGTCGGCGACGGGAGCGTGGAGGGTGGGGGTCATGGGAGATAGGGCGCTCGCCGGGCTGCCGATGGCGGGGCTGCCATTGAGAGAGATCTCGCCGGAGGATGGCAGAGAAGAGTCGGGGCTGCTCATGGACATGGCCTCGAGCTCCTTGCGAGCGGCCGTGATCTCCTCGATGAAGCTGCCGGTCGACGAGAGCCGGTGGAGCGAAGGACGGGGAGCCTGAAGAGACATGCTGGCGGTAGGTGGGTGGTATGGATCAACTTTTGTGGATGGTATGGGGTTTGGGTTAGGTGGGTTAGATGTGAGAGTTGTAAATGTGAATAGATCAAGAGGAAAGGGTCTAGGATATCCGTCTTGAGGTAAGAAGGTGAAGAAATGGGTTGTTGATGCTGATACTCGAGATTCACAACCTGTTTGGTGGAGGGGCCGAGGAGGATTATATATCCAGAAGGCCAGGGCCAGCCACGCCGTCTTCAAGTCACCATCGAGAGGGCCTCTTCTGTCTTTCGCTCGAGTCTGACGTCCTTGTTCCAGAAGTCTCCATAAAAACTAGGCAAAACGAGGTGTTTTCACCCCCCCGTGCCTGGCGTGGACTGAGGTTCCAGAGGAAGGTACCTCTGGCGTCAGCGATCCCCCGATGGGCTCTCTGTGTGTCGACTCATGCAAATGCAGCGCCGCGCTGCGTGGATATGCGGAGGTGGTTGCCATCGGGAACCCAAGAAGAAGCGACCCAAGTTCCCACAGCCTTGTCCCACAAGGAGGTGGGGCATCGTGGTGAGCAAGGCTCCACAGATTCCAGAAAAAACGTGACAAAGAAATGCCTCCTTTTTCTGTACGAAGGCGAGCTAAACAGCGGCCGTTGTGGGGCTTGCCCTGTTTGAAGGGCTGAGTACAGCCAAGAGAGGTGAAAACAGTACAGAGTCGAGTGGTGGCCCGAGAGGAGGCCGAGGGAAGGCCAAGGATGATGGCAAAAGAAGCGGGACGGACGGCCTGGCTGCCTAGGTAGGGAAGCCAGGAGGAGCTAGAGGGGTAGTTTCAAGGGTCCATTCCATTCGATATGCGAGACAAGAAAAGCACAGTGACGGGTGTGCGAATCAATGCCTCGGAGGTGCCATAAAAAAAAACTCCATAAAAGTCGTCGACGGCGCCGTGCCCGGCCCCGTTTTCGCCAACACTGGAGGTGGATACGCGAGAATGGCGACGAAACAGCGACACACGGCCTTGCGTCTTGGAAAAAGCTACATCATCATGTCGTTTGCGCTGATAGGTTGACAGACTGATGGTTCGACCAGGGCCGCTAGTCCTCTTTTGCCGCAAAATGCATTTCGGTACTTGTGCCTCTGAGGGGCCCCTATCATACCATGTAGTTCCATGTTGATATGTCTCGACCTCTCTTGCTCGGCTTAAGCGTGGTTGGAGAGTGGGAAATTGTGCGGCTTTTCCAAGCCAACAGGAACGCAAGGAAACTTGTAGATAACTGAACTAGCATCCTTGTCGTCATAGTAGGGTCAAGCCGGCCGCAAAAGGGACACCGGCCGTTTCGATTCTGCAGCGTCGAGGTTTCGGCGTCAGCCGTGAGCAGCGAAAAAGGATCGGACAGAACGGACGGTGACGAATGAAGGGAACCGGACGCCTTGCCGATAGTGACGCTGGCATCAACACTCGTCTCGATGAACTCGCGGTGCCCGCTCACTTGCCAGACGGATGCCGTCTGGCTCATCAACGCCGTCATCGTACCTGGGGAACAGGCCGAGGTGGAGGGGATGCCGGCCAGCAGTGGTGTATTCGAGCGATGGCAAGGGCAGTGCTTGCGTGAGGTGGTGGCTACAGGGGGTCCACGGGTCCCTGGCAGGCAGAGACAGGCGGTGGGGGCTGGTGTGGTGTTGATGATGTGCGAACAGCCAATAAATTCCCCGGCATCTTGGCAGCCGCAAGCACATGTGAAGGAAGAGGCGTTTTTTGCTGACGGGGTTGGGCTGGCGCTGCAGGATGCAGGGCGCATGGCGGCACGACGGGCGGCTTGGATCTGGTGTAACGGCGTCAAGCGATAGCCAGGACCCCAACTTGACCGAATGCCGTACCAGCGCAGCCATCTACCATAGCCACCGTTCAACCCCTCAGCGCCCGAGCGGGCGGTCGGGCGGGCGGGCAAGCAGGTAAGCAGGCAGACGTCTGCTGGTGTGCGCCATGTTGCTGCAGCATGAGGTCGTGATGCTGTAGGTGACAGTCACGCTTGGCTTGGCGGGTCTTGGGTTGGCTTTGAGACGCCCGCTCGATGCCGCTGAATATACCAAGCAACCTCCCTACCGGTGAGCAGTCCTCTGGTGTCCTTCGCCAGTACATGTACAGCCTAACTTGGATCTTGGGCCAGGGTACATGTCGTAGCGCGGCTGGCGACTCATGCAGATGAGGGGTCTGACGTCTCAAAGATACCCAATAGTTGGTGCTGAATGCTTGCTACCAGTGTTTCGCTCAGAGGAGACCCTTATCGAATGGCTCCCTGTATGCCCTTGATGCCGTCAGCCTTGATGGCATCCATCAGAGATGACGTTCCACAAAAGCGAGTCCTCGTTGAACCTTGATTGCACGAGTCGTCGTTGTGCCAAGTCCTGCACGATGAAGGGTCCCACATAATGGGGTCCATCTCTGCTCCGCTCTGACGTCACTTGTGAGAGGGGCCTGCCGCGGGGGCTTCTAACCAGTCAGAGGCTACCGTCCCAGGTTGCACCTGCAACATGAACATGTCGTTAGCGCGTCGGTCCGAACGATTCACCCGGGCAGGCGAGACGGAGGAACAGGGGGTGCCACCAAAAAAACTCGCCCTCATTCGCTCCTTTTTGAGGCAGCCCCAGGGGAAAAACTGCCCTCATTCGCTGCGTCTCCGTTTCACCGTGTCAAGTGCACCCCCCCGGCCGATCGCCGGGGCCGGTAGCCTTCGGGCAACGGACGTCGACCGCTCACACCAGCGCCACAATTCTTCGTATCCTCAGCTCAGAATCCACGCTCCACGCGCTGACCCAGCAATCTGGCCTCCCAAGCATGTCGCCGATGGAATATGACCCGACGTTCTCCAGACCTGTCGCCATTGCCACCACTGTCGGAGAAAAAAAAGCGCGAGAAAGAGAAGAAGAAAAGAAAACCCCCAAGGCGTACGCACTCGGCACAGGAAATAGCCCATCAAGTCACAGAGACAACACATTGATGATAGGCGCAATACAGATGCAAGAGTTTAAAAACAGCCAATGTCAGACTTTGAGCACGCCCATCTATCCGTCAAGGTGTATGGTTGTATCACCCAGGCAGGCAGGCGGGCAGTCAACTCAAACTGTGCGGGCATTTGGTGTGTCCTCTGCAACCCAAAACGTTGGTTGCCCGGTTTTCCTGCTTGGCACATGGAACACCGGCTGACAGGTGAAAGTCGATCGACATCTCATCTTTGAACTTGACAGATTGACACCGATTGCCCCTCGGGACTTCCACCTCCAGCCTAATCTGGCGACTGGCAAGCCCGGGCACGTCGTAGTGGCTGCACACCGACAGCTCTCACAGCCCGCCGCCGACTCGGTGTCTTGTCGATCAATCCTGAAAGGGAGGGCATCTTCATGTGCCAGCTGCCGCCGTGGCATGCTTTTCTTTCAGGTTTGTGAGGAGCGCCTTTCGCTAGGCACGCTTGCCGCCGGCCATTCTTCGAGTGAGCGCACCGACCGCATCCGTCTTGGAAAATGATCACCTCCTGATCGACCTGGCTGCCGCTTTCCGGGTCGCCAGGCCGAAAAATCACGACATTCTACCTTTTGCTAGCTGTGTCAACTTGAGCTACGCCATCGGGCATCCACGCCGAGCCTCCCCGTCCTGCATGCCCAGTTCAATGTGGTCATGGCGTCTTCGGGGTGCGTCGACGACATGTCTCGTCACACCGTTATTCCTGTCTTTCCAGCTGGGTCGTCTGAAGCATGTTGCTTCAATATTGACTCTCCCTTATCGCAACTACAACGACAAATCGCGCTGGTTGTGGGATACCCGCGCCTTCCCCAGCACCCCGGCAACGATCATGTTGGAATCAGCAGCTTTGACCGCCATCAACACTAGGCACACTGCAGACGTCTGTCAAAGCGCGCAATACACAAAAGATACATGGCTGCCTGTCGCCTTGAACGCACTCCACCAAAGTCCACAGAAACCCACACTATATACTACAAAGTATGGGCCTCGGATGAGCAATCACGTCGTCTCGTCTTAAACTGGAGCAAGCCCAGAACCTCCACGATCGAGACATGTGGGTAAACTACCCACCCTGAAAAAAGGGGAGGGGATTGTGACCGATAGAGGAGGGGAAAGCAACTGGCGAAACCGCGCAAGGTGGGTTTCGCCTCGATTGCCTTCCCTTGATGGACGGGGTAGACGGGGTAGGCATAGTGGTGGGCACGACGCAGAACTCCAATGCGAATGAGAGAAGAGACAGAGAGGGTGGGAGGCAGCCGATGGCCTCAAGGGCCATGAGTGACCGCTGTTTGCTCGTCGAATGTCGGCGGTCTCCGATCCGTTCCTTCTTTCCGATGTGAGACTGTAGAGGTCAACGGCCCCGGGTCTACCCTCTGGCATCGGTTGCGGGCACCGCAGCACCTCAAGCACTCATCTCAGTCATCTCCTCCTGATCTGTAGTGGTCCGGACTCCGCAAAGGAAGTGTTGACGCGCAAAAGTCAGCGGCACGCTCACAGAGAATCGCAAGGTCACTCCAGACCTCAACTACAACGACACGATACGTAGTTGGCGGTGCCTGTTACCAAGCTGTATCACTGCCAAAGGCGTGACGAATGTCCACCCGCATGTCCTGGGAACCATAAACCCCAGCGAACCCACATTGAAGAGGCGCATACTCACCATGCAAATCATCGTGTCGTCGCATGCCCCCCTCCTCTTCACGAGAACCGTCCCCTCCTTTTCCCCGCCTTTCTTGGCCCAGCACAATGCAACGGCCCTTCCAGAGAAGCGTGGATCGTCCACAATTAAATTCACCGGGTTTCCTCTCTGCGCAGTTCCGGATCGCATTATTGGCCGACTCCTCGGGTTCACGCGATGGGGTCGGCCCCGAACGAACCGAAATGTACGGATTCGTGTGATGCAATCTTGCCGTAAAGTTGATGTTGCGGATCACGGAGTGACGCTCTCTGCACAAGTATTGCTGTAATTCAAGGAGTTCACGTTAGCGAGGCTGACTTGTCGCACAGGCGGCATCGCCAAGTCCACATGGGATGATGTGGCCTCTTGAGGCATTCGCCTCTCAACGATCATGGATACACCCACAGGTTGGGCCTGGCTGAGTTTGAAGGTCTTGGATGCGGTGAGGCCTTGTTTCGGGCGCAGCCAGGCCCCCGAAATTAAGGAGTTGTATGTGGATGGTGTGGATGGAATGTCGCATCTGACGTTCAAGACCGAATTATTATCTACTCTCAACACCTGGAGTAGAAGGAGTGCGCAAGGTGCGGTATGCTTGTCCATGATGGCTTACCTTAGCAAGCCAGCTGCTTGAATGTGGATACATCGGGCCCGCCATGATTGGTCCGTAAAGCTTGTGTTTTAGGGGTCATATGCTTGCACAACCGTGCTCTCTCCAACAAGCACAGCAGCAAGTTTCGATAGCTCAGGGGTAGAGCAATCGGCTGCAGTCCGATAGGTCAGGCGTTCAAATCGCCTTCGAAACTTCTCTTTTTGCCCTTTCTCTTATGATCACTCCATCATGCAGAATCTTGGCAGATTTGCCTGGTAGCAATTTTTTGCTGACTACACACGAACACATAGATTCCACGTGACGCGGCCGTTGCTGTATCTAGGTACCTAGGTAGGTGGGTAACTAGGCTCATGATATGGTAGACAGTCGATATTCCGCGGTAGGATATTTCGCATCGTGGTGAGTGATGTGTTTAGTTTCAAGTCTGAATGTTTCAATAGAATGTGTTGCTTCATTGCGACTCTTGTTCTTGTGGTATATCATCAGGAATGTGGTTGTCAGGATGCCCTCTGTTGCAAAATCTGATTGCCGCATGTCGGAGCCACGACCCTTTTCGTCATGGATGCACGGCAAACAAGACGCTTTGTGGTTCAAATCGGCCATTGACGAGTGCGCCAAGGACTTTTGTTTGACGATTTATATCCATACCCCCTGGGTGGTCAAGCCAGACGGGACCGTTGGATTCGTGCAAGTTCTTACATCGTCAAGGCATGTGGCTGCCCGTAGCCAGCAATATCGCGGCTTCTGGAGTATGTTGATCTGACGTGGTGAGTCTCCCAGGCGGTGAGTACCGGACTATTTAGCCAGTTCAATGATTTTTCTGTCGTGTGTCCAAGCATGCTCCCTCTGTTCATCGCCATGCATCACTGTCATGTCCACGGCTTGAGGTCAATGTGGTCAACGTCATCAAGCAGCCACGCGTTGCTGAATCCCGAAAGGTGTGTTTAGAAACTTTGGTCTCACGATGTCAAAAGATCTTGGTGTTGTATTGCGATCAATTTCCCACGCTTATGGACTCCAGGCAAAGCGTCGTTAAGACGAGACTGCCAGGCCTTGTGGCTAGTATACTGCCCGATATACACCCCGAGACCGAACCATCCAAACGGTGACAAGCTCCGCCATATTTCTGGCAGCGGATAGCACGCGTGAATTTGCCTTTCTCCGTCATAGCAGCAGCCGTAAATAGGTTACTTAGATATCCTCCGCCATCCTTCCAGATACTATTCAGGAAGAATAGCCATTCGTGTCGGATCTAGCCAAGTTCGCTAGGTTCGAGAAGATTCTAGGCCGAGGCATTGACTTTGAGAATGATATAGTGAGCGGCCTAGAGCTGGGCTATCCGCTCCTCTCTATATCGATCGTCGAGGAATGGCCGCTCTCCCGTGCCCGCCTGATGGCGCAGATTGTAGATCGCGCTTCTGACCACACTGTGAATGAGTGAGTGGCCAGTCATTGGGCAAGAGAGTACCTCTCTGACTGAGCGTGCCTAGGACTCACTTCCGAACTTAGGGTGTGGGCGGACATGCCTGGCTAGACGGAGAACATGCTTGCCTCCCACGTGCCAGTCCTCGAGGACCAGAGTCTGCTAAAACCTCAATCGCATGCTGCATTCATATCCGCCGGATTTAGTCTAGAACACGTCATACCCTTTGCCGGGGACGAGGCTGGTGAGAGCATCGGCTGCCATGTACACCGACAGAGACATAACACCCTGCTCCTTGTCGCGAACCTGCCAGAAGAACCATGGCCAAGAGACATCCATGTAAAATAGCTCAAAAAACAGCACAGGAACAGGTCTGTGTACCTTATGGACGAGGTACACCTCGCCGGCACAGGCTCAACACGGCGCATGAGAAGTTCGCTTCAGTTTTCCGGCAAACCGTTGCATCCCAGGATGCCGATCAAGTTTGGCCAGAGACCTTCATCTCGATAAGAGCACTACTGGAATGGTGATGGATCAATAGTCATATATTTTGTGCCCGGCGAACGAAGCAGTCCTAACGAACCAAACCCGTGAAAAGGCTCATCCATAGTGCGGAACACGATGCAGACAAACACACCAGGAACAACACCCAACAGACGCATCGATCAAAAGGGAGCACACAAAGCTCATGTCTCAGTTGGACCAGGACCATCAAGTAGATGGCCGTGATCAAGGTCGTGTCATGTATACGCAAATCCCGGGGAGCTATCGGTCCTTCCCCACGCCTTGGTGCTCGCTTTACGCGGTGGCACTCGGCATGGTTTTCCGAGCGACACGTGCAGTCACGAACCGTCCTGCACGGTTCCATAACGTGGTCCCCCAAC